ACATCAATTATGTATTTAAATATCTCTGTTCTGTACTATAGCTCTTTAGATCTTTTCACTATTTAATAAATAAAGAATTAAGCTTTATTAAAATTAAAATTAAAACTGAAACTATCTCAATTGATTTATAGCAATTAATAAATTTATCTTATTACTTTTCATGTAAGAAAGTATTCTTACAGTAAATAATATTAAAATTTTTATATAATAAGAGTACTATCTTAATATACATTCTCTTATATTTTAATACTTTAAACAAATTAATAAATTTTAATTTTTATTCTTATAAGTTAACTAACTATATCTTGTTAGTTTATTATTAATATTTATTATTTTATTAAAAAAAGTTATTTAATTAAAATAATTTGTTTAATCAAACTTTAAATCTTGTCATTCAAGTTACTTTTTATAAATCTTGAATAAAATCAAAAAATTGAATTTTTAATTATTTGTTTATTAAATCTTTAAACTTTGAAAAGACAAAATATATTTTTTGTATTGAATATTTATAATATTTAAATTTTTAATTAAAGATATTTGATTTAAATATAAGTATTTTATTTTTTTGTTAATATTGAAAGTACATAATATATATTTATAAGTATTAAAATATTAATATCTTTTATTTTTAGTTAATAACTCTTATTAGTTTAATTATCTTTCAAATACATTTTTGAATTTTTTTTTATTTTTTAATAGAATTGTTTAATATTTCTATTAAAATTGATATAGATTTAGATATTTATTTTCATACTAATTAATTTATTAGTCTATTTTTCTTTTCTAATTCATATGATTCTTTTACTAAAAGTAAAAATACTCTTTATTTAAAGTAATTATAGCAATACTTAATATTCTAAGTTAATAATTTTAATAATAGTAATCTGTTTAGTATAATATAATATAATACTAATAATTTAATAATAGTAATTTATTTAATATAATATAATCTAAAGTTCAAAGTTAATAATAATATTTTGTTTGATATAATATAATTCAAAACTACTTGTATATAGACTTTAATATATATAATTAAAAATGAAAGAAATAAATATTATTTAGAAAAAGATTTTTGTTAAGAGATAATTTTATTTTTTATTTGCAATATGTTAAGTTAAGATTTAGATAATATTTCTATTTATATATTTTTTGAAGTTAAAAAAAATTATTTAATAATAAAATAATTATTTAAAAAGAATGAAATAAATACTAAAAATAGAAAAAAATAAAATATAAGATAAAATATTAAATAAAATATTAGATAAAGAGTAAATATTAAATAAATATTAAATAAATGATAATAAATAAAAAATAAAATATTAAGTTATTTTTGTTATAATTATTATTTTTGAATTTTTGCAATATTTCAAAATTTAAAATAATTTATATTACTATTATAATAATATATTATATTGTTCTTTATTATATCTTTCTGATTTTTTTATTTTGAAAATTATATATAAAAATTTGAGCACTTGTATAATATACTTAATATATATTAATAAATTTTATTTGTTAAAATTCAGATTGATATAATATAAGATTATTTTTTATATAGTTATTAATTTTAATATTAATTTAATATTAATTTCTTTAAATATAATATATAATATTTAATAAAGTTTTAATTAGGATTGAAATTATATTTAAATTAAATTTATTATATAATATATAGTAAAATTTTATAAAAAACACTTTGTTATAATATAAATATTTTTTTATATATAAAATATAATAATTTTTATATACTCTTATATTTTTTTGTATTATATTTATTATTTTTTGTGTTATATTTATCATTTTTTGCATAATATATTAGAAATTAATATAGATTTATATTTAATACTTCTTAATATTTTGTCAAATAGATTAGATATAAAATATAAATTACATTATTAATTCAGATATATATTATTTTTAATTCTTTTTATTTTTATTTATTTTTCTATTTCATATTTCATATTTATTATTTTTAAATTTGTATTAATTACTTTTATTAATATTTATATTAATATTAATATTTTATATATATTTAATTAAGTATAGTATAACTTGAAAATGTGTTATCTTTAAGTTTAATAATTTAGAACTAATTATTCTCTATTTTATAATTAATTTATTTGTAATTCATTAAATATTAATTATGTATTTAAATATTTCTGTTTTATACTATAGCTCTTTAGATTTTTTACTACTTAATAAATAAAGAATAAGCTTTATTAAAATTAAAATTGAAAACTATCTTAATTAATATAATTTATTTATAATAATTAATAAATTTATTTTAATATTTTTCATATAAAAAAGTATTCTTATATAATTTTTAAGATACAAATTATTTTTCAAAAATATTTGTTTTAATTTTTTTGTATTATATATTAATTTTATAATTTAATTAGTATATAATTTAATTAGTATATAATTTAATTAGTATATAATTTTAAAAAGATATTAAATAATTTAGTATTTAGTTATATAAAAAAATCTTAATCATTTAATTCTGATTCTAATATAAATTATTTAATATTCTTTTTTAAAATTAATATGTAATACAAAAAATTAAAAATAAATATTTTTAAAAAAAATATTTATATTATAACAAAAAGTATTTTTTGCAAAATTTTACTATAAAATCTATATAATTAAACTTTTTTATAATTATTACTCTTAAAAAAAGCAAAATTTGATAACTATAAAAAGAATATAATTATAAAGTAATTTTTTTATTATATTAATATATATAAATAAAAAAGCAAACTAAAATAATTATAAAAAAATATAACTATAAATAAATATAACTACAGAAAAATTTGATTATATTTATTTGCTATATATAATAACTTTAATTCTAAATCTAAGTTTAATTTTAATTAAAAAAGATATTAAATAATTAGTACTTGAATTAAAATTATATAATTGATACTTTTTTATCATGACAAGAATATTATTATAAGTTTATTTATTAATTATTAAATTAACTTATAAACTTCAATCTAAATTGGAAAAATACTAAAAAAAAGAAATATATCTAAGTTCTATATTAATTTTTATAGAAATTATAATAATTCAAAGATATAATAAAAATATAAAAGAGTTATAAAAGAGCAAAAATTGAAGAAGAAAGAAAAAAGTATAATTTAATAAGAAAATAAATAATAAAGAAGTTTAAAATACTAATTCTTTGTACTTGTATAAAGCTTTTCAGAGCTAAGATAAATACAATTAATAATAATAAAATTCTTTTACTTTATTCTTTTTACAAATAAGGAATATTAAAAATAACAAATCAAAAATAATAAAAGTTCAAAATAACAAAAATCAAAATACTTAATCAAAATTAATAATTTTAATAATAACATTTTGTTTGACATAATAAAATACAAAGCTCATAAATTCAATAACAGTATTTTATTTATACAATATAATTTAAAGCTACTTATACACAAGCTTTGATATATATAATTGAAAGTGAAAGAGAGAAATATTATTTGAAGAAGATTTTTGTTAAGAGAGGATTTTATTTTTTATTTGCAATATGTCAAGTTAAGACTCAAATAGCATTTCTATTTATACATTTTTCAAAAATACAATTTTGAATATAATAACTATCTAATCAATAATATAATATAATAATAATGAAAATTGTAAAAGAGTGATGATGAAAAATGATAAAAAATAAAAATAATAACTATAGAAAATGATGAAATAAATGATAAGATAAATAATGAAAAACAATAAAAAGTGATAAATAATGAAATAAATGATAATATAATTATGAAAAGTGATAAAAAGTGATGAAAAATGATAAAAAGTGATAAATAATGAAATAAGTAATATCTAATGAGTTATTTTTGCTGTCTTTCATATTTTATCATTTTTAGAAATTTTCTGTTTTTTGACTATTTTTAGAAATTGTAACTTTTCTTGAACAGCTTAATAATGATAGTATGTAAAATAGCTATGAGAAGGGGGCTAATATAGAATGATGGATTTCTTTTGCCTGATTATTGTGAGTTTAATAAAACAGAATATTATGAATATAGATAAATATTATTTACTAATTCTTAAAAATAAACGCTAAATACATTTTATAAATAAATTCTTATCTATCTAAATGCAAAAATTTTAATTGTAACTTTAATTGCTTTGCTTTACCTTTTTTACCTTGCCAATTTTTCAAACACGCTCTTTCTTTACTATGCAAATCTGTGTTTTGAATGGCTTCATCGATAATTTCAGGTTTACTAAGAGTAAGCAAGTTCTCTAAAAGACGATTTAAAAATTTTATACTGCAATATTTCAATACATAATGCACGATATTAAGACCACCAATCATCAAAGCACTAATTCCAGCATCATCATATTTGCGAAGCAATTGAGCAATAGCTTCGAAATCACCCTCGTCTTTCTTCTCTAGAGTACTTAAAATAAAATCGATTTCATCTCCCAATGAACTAAATCTCGATCCATTTTTAAGAAATACTTCCAAAATAGGAATTAAACGTGAGTTTGGAAAATAAAAAATAGTTTGAAATGCTGTAGCACAGTAAAAATATCCTTCGCGTAAAGGTGATTCTTCCACCGAGTTGATATGATTATTTAGACGTGCTCCATACTTCAATAATATTTGAAGACGTTGAATAATGGGTTCTTTGAAACCATCCTGATATTCCATAATAAGACAAGAGAGTGAAGGCGTAGTGAAATACCCATGATCATTGATGTCATACCCTAAAATTGAATTACATGTATATAAGAAATATAATACTACCTTTCAATATATGAATCATAATACTTTATTTATAAAAAATATCTAACCTTTCTCAACAAGAAACTTAGTTGCTTTTTCAAATACATCCATATAGCATTCTTCTTGTTGGTTGACAAAGGATTTGTTCCTGATTAGGCCACTATGCACGTTATTCAAGAAAGCGAAACGATCCTTGTGTGGTAGACTATATTCTATTATAAATTGAAGAAAATCCAAAAGTTTTGGTGCTGGACAGTGTTTTGTAGTATGATAAAGACAATTCCTACATTGAATTAATTAATTAACAATTAATGAATCATCAGAATTGTATAAAGAGCATTAGATAAATTTAAAATATGTACGTGTCATCATATAATTCTAACCAATTCCAATATTCCAATATATATTTTTTGCAAGTCAAAAAATAATTATCACCATTTTTAAGATGGTATTCCAGACCATCTACATCCCAATAATATTGATGCAAAGAAATACAGCAATCTTGAATCGGAATATCTATATTTTTTTCTTTTTTAAATTTGTCAAGAACGAGCTTGCAGTGTCTCACTTCTGGATCTAGAAATGATTTTAGTAATTTCCTAAATGTTAAATTCACATTGCAGCACTAAATAAATAAATACCTTGAAATAATCCTGTTATTAATGTAAATGAATTCTTATCGTTATAGTTATTCATAGACAGTGACATGTCTATATCACATAAAGTTTCTTCCAAGTCATCGCGAGACTCTATTTAAAATATTTTACATTATTGCTATATAAATATGATTAAAGTCAAGCTTATTTCTCACCTGAACTGTTGCTTGGATTGTTTGGGCTAATAAAAATGGCTAAAAATTTTATTATATCGTTATCGTTATTAAAATTTAACGGAACGGAAGATCGAAAAAAATTAAATAATGAATAAAAAATACTTTGATTTATGTCAAGACTACAGTCACCAATCATTTTTTCAATTGAGTCTAATATAAAATCTGCTTCGGGACGTTTTTGTGGATCTCCTTCCCAACACTGTTGGTAAAGACTTACATACTCTGTCGGTGTTTTTGGATCTGGTGTCTCTCTTGTTCCATCTTTAATTGCATAAAGAATAGTAGGGTCCTGTTGATGCCCATAAAAAGCACATTTTCCTAGAGGATTTGCAATCTCCCATAAAATAACACCCAATGAATAGATATCTGAGCGTTTATCTCGTGGATATTTATAATCATGCATACACATTGGCTCTACATAAGGTGCAATTCCAAAAAAATCTGTTTGAGTATATGAATTGGTAATTAAGTTTTTTGAAGCTCCAAAATCGGCTAACTTGGCGATTCCATTTTGTACAAGGATGTTTTTCGAGTGCTGTAATTAGAATAGAAAAAATTCATTAAAAAAGCTCATTTAATTTATAAGATACAATAGCGATAGCTTACAAGATCTCTGTGCACAATTCCTTCGTCATGAAGAGACGACAATCCGTTAGTTATTTGACAAGCCAACTGGAGTCTATTATGCCAAGATAATGTACTACAATTCTTACAAAGATATTCTCGTAGGTTACCACCATCAGCATATTCTTGTATTAGAATATATTCGGATGTTTTTGGATCTAATTATCCAGAAACAAATTATTATTTTATTTGTTATTTGTTATTTGTAATTTCTTCTAATACGGTATTATACCTTGACTTATAGCTAAAAATCGAATTATATTCTCGCAATAATAAAGTCGTTGATTAATTTTAACCTATATGATATTTATACAAGGTATTAAATAACATAAAATTTTAAAACAATTTTATGCTTTATTACATGTACCTCATTTACAAACTCCTTCATAAATAATTCTTCATTTTGTCGAGTATAGTTTTTCAATCTTTTGCAAACAACTGTTTTGCGTCCTTTTTTCCAGTAGGCGGTCATCAATTTTCCAAAGCCACCCTCGGTTAGCATTTTTTCGTTTTCAAGCTCACCATAATCTATATTTTTGATAGCACTTTGAGCTAATATGTCTTGTAACCATTGTTTTGCTTTACTCATTATCGATCGTTATCGTTATGACAGAAATAAAACTGATTTCGGAATAAAAAGTGCAACACATGATATCATTTTTGCATGTACATGTACATGTACGTATACCGTTTTCTATTATACATGTACATGTACGTATGCTCTAGTCACACTGTTACCGTAGTAACACTAAATTCTCTAATTCCATAATCTTTACACGAATTATACTATTATTTATCCCAATCCCC